TTCAAAGCTATCCACTGCGCACTGCTCCAAGCCCCGTGATCCCACCCAAGAGAAGTCAATTCTTCCTCTCAAAGTGATTTCTGTGTGAGTCAGGACAGCAGTGTATCATCAGGGCCAGCTCAGAAAGCCGGGCCAAGTTTTTCTTGGCATCTTCCACCTGCTTCCCTTTTGGATTTAGGAAGAACAAGGATGAGAGGAGACTAGGACAGAGAAGAGCCCTTGGCCTTTCCAAGCCACACTATCCCCATCACGTCATCCTCTCCAAATTTAAATCTGGGCATCAGAATGGGAGGAGGCAAAACCTGAGAGAACCCAGCCCATCTAGGTGGGTCTGAGAGCATGGTGAGGGTCTGCCTTTCACACCCTCTTCTGGCTAGGATAGTGATTTTCAACCAGTATACTGCAAGAGTTTTTAAAACATGCAATACCTATTTAGTCAGGTTTGTCAAATTTAACAAAATGACAACAACCAACACAACAATAGCTATCCAGTGTGAACGAATCAAAATTATATCTATCTTTTTGTCAGATCGGCAAAAAATACATTTTTTGGTGTGCCCCAGAATTTTAGTTTATGTGTGCCATGAGATGGAAAAGGTTGAAAATTGCTTGGCTAGGGGCCACCCCAATATGAGTTTGTATCTTCCAGGGCTCAAAATCACTTCAATGGGCAGTGTGACGCCATCTCAGAACTTGAAGTGTATGCAGAAGCCATACACACACGTGAGTGCACACATATGCACACACACATCATTGTTGGTACAGAATCCTGAAGAAAGTAAAGCTACACTGAGCTCAGAAGAGGTCCAGCCAGAAGAAGGGGAGCAAGGGGAATGGAGAGGGAAAGGGAAGATATGAGGGGTTGCAAAACCAAATCAGAGTGGGGTTCCTGGCAGGCTACAGCACACACATCTCTATTCATTCAACCTCTGTTGTGTCCTGCTAGGTGCCACCTAAATATATCTGGAAATCCCAACCCTTCCAGAAGACTTTCCAGACTTCACTCAAGGAAGAACCCACTTTCTCCAGATGTGTTCTGTCTAAATGCTTCCCTGCTTCCAAATTATTTGTCTCTATCCTGAAAGAAGCTCATCCTAGTAGAACAATTCTGCTGACCCCTGTCTACTAAGCACCAATCCCTCTGGCTCGCCAGAGATTCCCTCTCAGGAGTATAGCCAGCTTCCCAGTCATTTGAGTGTAAAGGTCTCTTGGAGTTCACCTGTTTCAATGCCCTCCTCCATGACCATTGCACAGATGAGAATCTGAGCCCAGAGAAGGAGGGCAGGCTTCCCAAGGGTCCAGGCTGTCATCCTGTCATCATCAGAGGTGACTGAGAGCTCTCAAGTATCCCCAGGGTTTGATTGCTCACATGTTTAATGGATTCCTCAGGCCCCCTTATCTGCCCCAGGATATAGGTTGAGCTCAGACACAGGCAGGTCTGAGTTCAAATTCTGACTCAGAACACAGAAGTCAGGTCACAGCACCACACATCATAGGCTCCAGCCCCTAATGACCCTGCTGCTGCCACATACCCCAATATAGGGCCTCTCCCCCAAGCACACATTTCAGTGTCTCCCCTGGGGAGTTCCAGTCCCTCAGAGCCTATGCTGTCTTTAGGGTGACCTAGGAGCCCTACCTCCCAGATGTAGTATTTCTCCCTGCTCCAAGGCCCCAAGGCTCCAAGGCTCCCAACAAAAAATGCTTCTCACCCCCACTCCAAGCAGGTTTCCCTCCAAAATACTCTCCCTAGTCCTCGGGAAGGCCAAATGTCTAAAGGCATAAGGGGTGTGGAGGAGGTAGATCACTGGTCAGAACCAGAGGGTACGCAAGTGGCCCCTGGAGGTATGGATGTGCTGAGGGCCAGACCTCCAGAAGACAAGCACTCTCAGCTGTAGCCCTGACTGTGCTGCCTGGATGATTAGTTGGGGACACCCAGACCAGGCCTGCCCTCTCCCTGTCTCTCCAGATGAGCGCTCTCTGCCTTGCTGTGGGGACCCTTAGCACATCTTGCCAGGCTACAGAACAAGGGGTAAAGCTTATGCCTGCCTCCAGGGTGTCAGAAATATCCAGTCCTGGAGACAGAGCGCATCCCAGCTCCAGCATTTGCCAGCTGTGTATCTTTGGGCATGTGACTTCCCTTTTCTGAGCCTCAGTTTCCCTATCTATAAAAAAAAGCTGATGATACCCTACCTCATAGGACTGCTATGATGATTAAATGAGATGATATTTATTAAGCATCCAGCACAGCTCCACTCCCAGAATCTGAAAACCCAATGCTCTTCTCTGGAACCTCATACTGCAGGCGAGGCAGAACTGGGGATAGCAAGTGAGGGAGGGTTGCATAACAGCACATGTGGCTCTCTTCCAGATGTTTTTGTCCCATTCTGAGCAAACAAGACCAAAGGAAAGTTCTCAAGAACCACATATGACACCCTCTTCCCTTTTCCCTAGGTCCAGGCTACACATTCCCTCTTTTGCTGGTGGACCACCCTGCCACTTCTGCCCTGAGGGGGTGTGGGAAAGGGAGAGCAATGAGAAGTTGCCACCCACTCAGAAGATAAGCACGTGGGTGGTGATATCATCCTGCCTGCCTGTCTTCTCCTGCCCCTGACCCCATGACTCAGGGCCACAGGCTCAGGCCTTATGTAGTCATAATCTTGGAGGCTGCTTGGATTTGGGTCATTTTCTTCACCCAGCCCAAACCCCACATGTCTAACCGAGAACCAACAGGACAGATGCCTGTCCTACAACACTTTCTAAGAGTCTCTCTGGGTACTGTAGAGTCCTAACTCATGGCTCTGTGATCTTACTACGTCTCTGACTGCAAACAGTATTGTCCAGGTCATTGTGAAACCCAAATTCTGCTCCAAAGAATTATGATATATGACTCTGGAGAAGGCCACAGTTTTATGATGGGGGAATTCCCACAGGAAGACTCAGAAGTCAACCTCACCAGTATAAGGACACATGCTCCTCAAAAGGGACAACACTTCTCTAACTGCCCTTTCCACAAACATTCAAGCACCCAGATGTTAGGCATCTAAGCATGCTAGACATCCAGCCACCAGCTCCCATCAGGTGCCTGACAGAGCTGAAGAGGACCAGGGACAGGAAGGAAAGCAGTCCTCAAGTCTGGCCCCCTTCTCATCCTCAGGCTCACATCAACACAGGCTGCTCACCTCTAACAAGCTGGATGGTCTGATTCCTTGGAGCCCAGGAGTCTGAAGTAAACTAGAAAGCTCAGAGCAGGCAGGAGAAACTACCAGTGAGGTCACTGAAGAGAGAAAAGAACTCCAAAGATCAGTCATGGGAGCAATAAAAGCATCGCTGAAGCCACTAAGTGAAAAGATCACTCCAAGGCTCCCCTTGCGTTATGAGCCCTGTGTGCAAAAACTGATGCTCATGGTGCTGAACCAAAGTCATGAAGGAAAATGAGTGTCCTGATGTCAGAATGTGCTGTACATAACACGAGAAGAAAGATTTCCATGTTCAACAGTTAACAGAAGTGTTAGTGCTTCAGCTGGGGAACTTCAGATGTCAGGGAAATGTACTCATCCAAAATAGTCCCATTCCCAAAGAGCTTAACTACAAACCACTATTCCGACTCCATAGCTCTTCACCCTTCCCTGCCACTGAGATCAGCCTGATCCATCCCAAACGTTTCAATTTCAAGTTTAGACTTCTATTCCCCCCAGCTTCCAAAAGCACCCAACCTATGGTGCAGGCCCCCAAACTACTGGGAGAGCTGCACAGCATCAGATTTCCTAGGAATTTCTGGGAGGCCAGAGGGGATTAGCCAGGAGGCAGAACTAAATAAAAACCTCTCTTAAAGACAAACGCTTCATAACTTTCTAAAGCAGAAGCAGCTAACTGCTAAAGAAAAGGACCTGGGGCTTAACTAAAAGACAAATCAGACTCATTTACAATCATCCACATCCCATATTAAGGTCGTTTTTCTCAATTAAGTCAAACACCCTTCCCCACCACTCAATTTTTTTACTTTACTATTTGCTGGACGTTTTCTCTCAGTGAAAGATCCCTTGTGAGTTACCTATCACACATTTCTAATTAGGACAGGTTGCCCTTTGAAATAAATCCCCTTTTCTTGCATTCCACTGCCTTAGACCCCCAAACCTGTCAATTCGCTGGCTGAACAGCAAGTGAGGGTCTTGGGACCTGGGGTTCAATCACCTCCCCTCTACTGTTCCCCAGCTCTGGTCCCACCTTCCCTCCACCGGTTCCCCACCTGTCTCCACCCGATCTCACCTACCATCTCCCTGAGACTTCCCAAGCCCAAACCACTTCACCCTTGTGCTTTCCTGTTCTTTGGCGTCCTTCTGTCTCCTCCCCTCCCCCAACACCTATTCACCCCTCCCTCAGGCCAGCTGTCCCTACCAGTTCTCAGAATCTACCCCCCTCAAGCCCACTTCTGCACGTACAAGTCCTCCGGTCCTCCACTCCTTCACTCTTCAAGCCCAAGCAGAGTGGACCCTAAGCACTCGCCCTTGCCTCCAGGCAGCTCCCCCTCCTCAGAACTCGTGGTCAGAATGTTTTCCTCCGCAGAGTGCGGGGATCTGCTGACCTCCCAGCTCCAGCTAGCCGGTTAAGCTTTTCAGAATCACCAACACAGTGACAGATCTGCCTATTGTCCCACGCACACCCGGGACCTCCGTAGTCAGGACCACCCACCCAGCCTCTTCCAGCGGCGTCCGGGCGGGGGCAGGTCACACAGTGTCCCAGCCCCCTGGGCCGGAGGGAGGAGGAGGCCAGGTGGGAGGCGGGGTTGGATTCCAGCCTCCCCCAGCTGCCCCTGGGCCCGGGAGCTGGGATGCCGCTCCGGTTCTCCGTGCTCACGGCGCAAAGGCCGGCCCGGGACCAGAGAAAAGGCCGGGCGGGGACGCCCTGAACGGACGGGGACGCCCCACGCCAGCTCTAGCGGCCCTGCAGCAGGCGTGGGACGCAGACAAAGGCCGCCTGGTCCGCGCCACGCAAGCACTCACCGCGCCGCGCCCACTCCCGGGATCCCGGACTCGGCAGAGCTTCGGAGTCGCCGCCGCCCTCCGGAGGCTGGACCCGAATGGGGTTCGGGGGCTGCCCGGGAGTCTGAGGGGCGGGGCGGGCCTGAGGAAGCCGCGGGCCCGGAAAGGCGGCGGATTCGCCCAGAGCCCGGATTGGCCCCGCGGCGGCGGTTTGGGGCCCAGCCTGAGCCCGCCCGCTGGGCAGGGCGCCGGGCCTCGACCCCGCCCCTGGACCCAGCCCGGACCACGCGGGGAGAACGGGCGGGCGCTCTGCGAAGGGAGCACGTCTAGTCTTTTCCCCTAGCCCACCCGGTTCCCACACTCCCAGGATCCAAAGTTTATTTGCTGCGAGGGGGACAGGTGACCAGTCTCTGACCCCACCCTCCCACCCCCTTCCCAAGAGGCTGTTGTGGGCAGAGCGGGAGCTCAGATTCCGCTGTGCGACTGGGCATCTGTTCCCTCAGCACCAGGCTGGTACCGTGGCCTGGAAAGGGTTAACTCGACTGCGAGGAATTAAAAACTGCTCTATAAATACAGCGTCGTGGGCGCCTGAGACAACCGCAAGATAATTTCCACGGAGCTGGTTTTCCTCTTTTCCGTCCACCCCACCCCCCACCCCCCGGCCAGCCCTACCCCCAGCCGCAGGGCTGGCGCTGGCCAAACCAGGCTGGTTCCAACAAAGGGAGCAGCTCAGACCCCCATGGCCTTGGGCTCTGTCCTTAAAAGACCGACCTCCAGCGCTGGAGGAGATGCTGTCCACACTCTGCCTTGGCCCATCTCTCCCTGCACCTGTTCTTCAACAGTTACAGACAGTAACCGCTCCAGTATAACAGGCTTCTGTGGGCCATGGTCTTGCCATGCTGGGCTTCTTTGAATTCTCACAACAGCCCATCAGGTAGGCAATATTATTCCCGTTTTACAGATGAGAAAACTGAGGCTCTAACCTTGTGCTTCTGCCAGGTCTACCACCAAGTAGCAGTAGATGTATCAGAGAGGGCTTAGGAAATATACATGAACACAGGCACCTCTGCATGTCAACCAATGTTTTAAAGCTCTTTACCATTTTATCTCATTTCATCTTCACAACAACTCAGTAAGGTAAATGTTATTATTATTCTCATCTTTACCAATAAGAAAATTAAGACACAAAGAGATTAAGTAACTTGCTTGAGGATATCCAACTATTAAGTGGAGGAACCAGGATGCATCCCTTTGAATTCAGTGCTGAATTGAAACATAACTCTGTGGGGGGGGGGGGGGTTGTTGCATGTGCATGTGGTCATGGTGCATGAAAATGTGTATTTGTGAACACATAAGCAACTCTGTGTTTGAATCTATGTACACATGCATTTCTGAATATAAGTTTGATGGTGGCTGTGTCTATCTGGCTGCTCCTAGGGATAGGAGCATGGAGTGGGGCATCAAAACCAGGCCATCTGATCCAGTGTCCCAGGAGGTTATCAGCCTCCCCAACAATCCACACTGCTCCCTCTGCCCTGTCAGGTCCTCTGCAGCCTGGGCCTGGCCTTGAAGGTCTCAGGATGAGTAGCTCCCACCCAGCCCCACAACCTGGAGAGAAGCATCTAGGAGACCTGCAGCAACATTCTTGAACTAATCTAAAGGAATTAACTTTCCTTCCCTTGTCCAAAAGTCAGTTCTGTGCTTTGTGCCTTGCTGGGGTGACTCAGGTCTCGTTCCAGAGGACTACAGTCTGACTGGGAAGGCACAACTCAGCCGTGATGGACAGTGAAGGAACAGCACGGGGCAACTGTGATAGTGGGGGAGGGAGGAGACTTATGATAAAAGTCAAAAGACAAGTATGATAAAATTGTTCAAGAGAACAGGTCAAGAGGGAAGAAAGTGAGGACTGGTACTCATTCTTGAAAGCAGTGGCTTGAGAGAGCGCTGATCCCCCAGAAAGGGCAAACACCTGGGGCAAGAGGATAGATAACAGGTCTCCAGGACAGGCTCAGCTGAGACTCAGATACCTGGCCAGGGACAGAAACAGAGTGACCATCACAGTACACAGGAATCCCCTCATTTCAGAAAATGTTTGTTCTATGCCCAGTTGAAAATATATCCTTTCTCAGACTCCCTTGCAGCCAGAGGTGGTCACATAACCCAGTGTGGCCCATGAGATGGGAGTGAAGCTCACTAGTTGGGGCTTGGGGGAAGCTTGTTAAAGGAACAGGCTTCCACTATGGAAAATAGCAGGGTGGTTCCTCAAAAAATTAAAGCTAGAATTACCATAGGATTCAACAATCTCACTTCTTGCTATGTTCCCAAAACAATTGAAAACAGAGTCTCAAAGATATATTGTACACCTGTGTCCATATCAGCATTATTCACTATAGCCAAAAGGTAGAAGTAACCCAAGTGTCCATCAATGGATGAGTGGATAAACAAAATATGGTACATACATACAACAGAATATTCGTCAGCCTTAAAAAGGAAGGAAGCCCATCGTGTGGCTCAGTGGTTGAGCATTGACCCATGTACCAAGAGGTCATTGGTTCAATTCCTGGTCAGGCCCGATCCCCAGTTGGGGGCATGCAGAAGGTGGCCAACTGATGTTCTTTCTCATCGATGTTCCTATCTCTACATGCTACAACATGGGTGAATTTTGAGGTCATTATGCTAAGTGAACTAAGCCAGTTACAAAAAGACAAATACTGTGTGGTTCCACTTACATGAGGCATCTGGAGTAGTCACATTCGTAGACACAGAAGGTAGAATGGTGGAAATCTTAGGGGAGGACTCAGGGGAGGGTCTCAGTAGAATATTCATCAGCTTTCCAGGTATGCTTTTTCAGGGTCATGGTGTCCACTGATCGGTCGGTCGGTGCCAGGACAGGGGGTCATTAGTCAATGCAGCTGGTCCTAAGGCAGCCACAGCGTCATGTGTCTGGTTTTGCTTCTTTTCTGGGCCTAGAGTTGAAATAAAACTGAGGTCTAGATGTTATCTCTAGGAAGGAAAAGGTCAAGGGGTCTAAACCACATGACCAGCCATATGCTGGGGGAGGAAAGGTTACCCTGGGGGTGAGGTTCTTGTTTTCCTAGTTTTGCCCATTGTTAGGCATCTGGGGCTTTCTACCCTGGCAAGTTTCTTTACCTGGCCCATCGTCCTTACTACACTCATGTCTGTCTAACTGCCTATAACTAAACTACTTGAAATCAAGAAATCCTAAACTCAATCCAGGTATTAAATCTTTAGTACTAATATTGCTGTTTCCAGTTACAGGGTCTATTATGAGCATTTGATTTTAGTTGTGTTTGAGACACTGTGCCTGGGTAACATTGGGGCATCTGACCATAGTCCCACAAGGACTATGGAATATGGGGAAGGTTTAACTGTCCAGTGGTGAGAACAGTTTATTCAGTCCTCCCTAGTGGGGCAAGTTCTTCATGTCAATTCTTGATTTCTGAGGTAGGACCACCAACTACCATTCCTAGCCCCCTTTCCCTCCCTGGCTTCTCTCAGCCTACTGTCCCTGTCTTCTGGAAAAACAGAGTGTGGGACACAAGTAAGCCCCTCTTGGACCATGTCTTGGATGCTGCTAGGTCTCCACTCAGGTCACTGCTCCTGGGGAAAGCTCGGTCCGCGATCAACAGGCTGTGTGAGTTGCCACATCCTCAGCCAGTGACCAAGGCTCAGTCCTCTTACAGTGTCCCTCCACCCTGTTTCTGCTACCAGAGGTGGGGCTGTCTACCTACTGGCCCACTTCACCCAATGTTACTACCTCAGATGTGGGGTGTTATTTCTTATTGGCCTAACCTCTTTTTTCATTTGGGGGTCTAGTTGTTGCTAAAGAATACGACCTTGCATTTGTTTTCTTAAAGCAGGACTTTCAGCATAATAACATATTTGGCATTTCTTCTTTCCTCATTTCCCATGATGAAATAATTTAAAGGAATCTCTACAATCAGACTCTGCAACAAAACCCTGGGGATTTCCAAACAGACTATAGCAGCAGCAATGACTTTATACACTCCGGAAAATGTGTGGCCACCTCTGAAGAATGGCCACAGCCACCAAGTTTCTCTCTTCACCCTAGAAATTCCCCAATCAGCCCTTCATCCTGTTGGGCTCAGCATTGCTGTCAAAACATGATTCCTCTCCATCACCTTCCACCTCTCTCTAAATATTCACACAGTTCAGTTCCTCTCACTTTAGGGAAAGGTAGTCTATCTGAGGTGGTCCTCTGAAACTGGACAAGTCCACTTCTTTCCCCCCAGTCTTCTGGCATGGGTGCCAGCTTCAACCCTGGTCTGTTCTGACGTGTGCTGCCCAGTGTTCTCTGCTTGGCTCATGTCATGTCTCCCCAGGTATTTTGAGAGCTCCCTCAGGGGAGGAACCCTAGCTTATTCTTCTCCAGACTCCCCATTCCCACTCCCCCACCCTCAACCCCCACCCCCCATGTTGAGAAAACTTGAACTCTGGAGTGAATGCCTTAACCCTGGCTGGAAGTAATGGGATGCAGACAGTGCAGTAAACTAGAAACCAGGATGTCCCAGCCTGCCAAGTAGTGACCATGTAGCCAGGGGAAGTGGGTGAGCTGTCTGGGCCTCTGCCTCTTCTTCCAAGAATTATCCCCCTCCCTACCACCAGCTCCTCTGTAGCCAGCTGAGCTACCAGTTCTTTCTCACTGAGAGCACCAGAAAAATTCCCCCTCCACCCTGTAGCAAGCAGAACGAATGAAGCAGGCTATGTCATGGACAAGAAGCCTTCAAGTCAGGAAAGGACTTACAGCTGGCCTCCAAATTCCCTGTTCTTTTGTATTTTATTAATAAAACATTTTAAATTACAGTTGACATACAATGTTGTATTAGCTTCTGGTGTACAGCCTAGTGATTAGACATTTATATGACTTACAAAGTGATTACCCTGATAAGCCTAGTACCCATCTGACACCATACATAGTTATTATAATATTATTGACTATATTGTATATGCTGTAGTTTACATCTTGTGACTGTTTTTACTACCAGTGATTTGTACTTCTTAATCCCTTCATTTTTTCAACCATCTCCCCAAACTCCCTCTCATCTAGCAACCATCAATTTGTTCTCTGTATCTGAGTTTGTTTGTTCATTTATTTTGTTCTTTAGATTCCACATATAAGTGAAATCTTATGGTATTTGTCTTTCTCTGTCTGATTTACTTCACTTAGCATAATACCTTCCAGGTCCATCCATGTAGTTGAAATTGGCAAGATTTCATTCTTTTTTTTATAGCTGAGTAATAGTGGTCAATTAATCTATGACAAAGAAGGCAAAAATATACAATGGGGTAACGACAATCTCTAAAATAAACGGTGTTGGAGAAAATAGATAGATAGACGCAAAAAATAAAAATAAAATTATACCACCTTCTTATACCATATACAAGAGTAAACTAAAAATGGATTATACACTTAAATATAAAAACTGAAATCATAAAACTCCTAGAAGAAAATATAGCCAGTAAACTCTGTGACACTGCTCTTAGCAATAGCTTTTTGGATATATCCTTCTCAGGTAAGAAAAATAAAATAAAATAAATAAGTAAATAAATAAATAGGACTACATCAAACTAAAAAAGTTTTATACAGCTAATAAAACAATCTACTAAATGGGTGAAGATATTCACCAATGATACATCCAATAAGGGGTGGGGGAATTATTATCCAAAATATATCAGAAACTCATATAACTTAACATAAAACAAACACAATTCAATTAAAAAATGGGCAGAAGACCTGACTAGAGATCTCCCCTCCCCCGCCCCTAGCTCCTTTTCAAGTTCTCCCTCCCATGTTTGACATAGGCACTTGCTACCTTTTGCCCCCTCCTGGTGATAAATGGAAATGCAGCTGAAGAGGGCTTCCATCCTCACTCCATCCTAGGTTTACAATGATGCTCCTCAATGCCAGTCTTGGGATTGGAGGAGAAAGAAGGGGTAGAGGTGGGGAGGTAGGAGAAGCAGTGTGAGCTGGGGCTGTGGAAGTCAGGGGAGGTTTTCCAGAGGAGTTGGGCTTAGAGCAGACCCTGAAAGACAGTAAGAATTTGACAAATGAACAGCCTCAGGGTCCTGCCTAGGTCTGGCACTTCTCTAAGATATTGCATTGTTGAGAAGACCCTGATCTGATTACCCTGTGCACCTCATGGGTGTGAGACCAGGTGTCAGATGATGGAGGCAGAAGGGGAAAGCCATCCTTGAGACCAAAACTGGGAGGGGAGTTAGAGCATCTGGGCCCACACATTCTGCCTGGCTCACTGTGCTGCACTTGAAGGATAGGTGCCCCTGCTGAGACTGGCCCCCCTCTTGTGCACACTCACCTATTCAAGGATATCACTCCAACCATTCTCCCTCTCTCCTGCATCATACATGTGTTTGCTCTCTTCCCTGCTTCATTCAATCTCTTTCTTGAAACACATTCTGCTTCTACAACTCCCCTCTCTTGCTTTTTTTCTCACCTCATCACTGATTGCTCCTTCTAGTCTTCTATGCTGGGAACTTTCCTTCTCCCCAACCCTTCATGGTAGGGAACCCTAGGACTTAGTACTCAGAACTCTTCATTTCTGGGTCTACACCCACTCCATTGACCCAGATTGGATTGTCCTTGAATCCTGTGTTTCCAACTGCCTACTCAACATCTCCATTAGTCTCTAATCAAAATCAGCATTTCCATCTCAACCCCCCCCCCCTCATCATCAAAGAAACAAAACTTCACAAAAGCAAAACAAACCATTTCTCCTATAGCCTTCCTGATATCAGATGATGGCGACTCCCTTCTCCAGTAGCTCAGGCCAAAAATCTTATACTCTTCCTTGATAACCCCACATCACCAATCCTACTAGTTCTATTTTCAAAATATATTCAGAACCAGATGACATCTCTTCATCTCTACTGCTACCACCCTGGTCCAAGCCCTTCCCATCACTTGCCTATATTGTAATAGCCTCCTAATTGGTCTCTTTGCTTCCATATTTTCTCTCTATAGTTTACTTTCTACACAGCAGCTAGAGTGATCCTTTT